GCCAGCTGGGCAGCTCCAGCCCGCGCGCCTGCCCTCCCACAGCGGTACGAATGCACGCTCGCATCCCGCCGAAGTCCGGCCGCACCAAATCCGGCCGCAGGCCGGCATGTACCTTGCTGAAACGCCCGGTTTTGGGCGCTGCCCGAACCCGTTTCCGCGAGAGTCCGAACTGATGACGAAGATTTGGCACAAGGGCCTGCCCTTCAGCCCCGAAGTGGCCCCGTACCTGCGGCGCATGGCCCTGGTGGAAGAGAACCGAGAAACCCTGCAGCGACTGCAGGGCGTGTGGGACAGCCTGGCGCTGCTGGGGCAGATGAGCGGCACCGCCACCGACATCGCACAGACCCGCAGCGCGTTCGAAAACCTCACGAATGCGCTGCTGGACAGCCTGGCCCGCCGGCTGCGCAGCCACGCGCTGGCCCGCATGCAGGGCCGCGCCCAGGTCGCCATCGACATCCTGGTGCGCAACCTCTTCGAACGCACCGCCGACGTGGGCTTCCTCGCCTCGGACGGCCCACTGTGCGCGCACGTGGCGCTCGACCCTGCAGCGCCCACGCATGCCGACAGCCGCGCCGCCCTGCGTTCGCGCTTTGCCGCATACGCGGCCAAGTACTCGGTCTACGACGACATCATCGTGCTCTCGCCGCAAGGCGAGGTGATGGCCCGCCTGGACGAGCGCTGCGGGGCCATGGCCTGCACCGAAGCCTGGGTGGCCAACGCCCTCGCCTCGGACGCCCCCTACGTGGAGCATCACGGCCCCACCGCCCTGCTCGGTGGCCGCCACGGGCTGCTCTACGCGCGCGCCCTGCGCAGCCCGGACGGCGTGATGGGCCTGCTGTGTCTGTCCTTCCGCCTGGCCGACGAGATGGGTGCCGTCTTCCGCCAACTTCTCGGCGGGCAGGACGCTCACGCCGCCATCTGCCTGCTGGATGCTGACGCCCGCGTGCTGCACAGCTCCGACGCCTGGCAGATCCCGCCCGGCGCAACGCTGCACCCCCGCGGAGAGCGGCTGCTCTTCGCCGGGCGCGACTACCTCTGCGTGCAGGCCGCGGCCAGCGGTTACGAGGGCTACATGGGCCCACCCGGCTGGACGGCCTGCGTACTGACCCCACTGGAATGGGCCTTCGACGACCCCGACGCAGGCCGCGAGGCCCGAGGCGACGACCACGACCTGCAGCGACTGGACAGCATCGACACCACCCGGCTGTTCGACGCCGAGCTGCAGGGCATCCCCCTGGAGGCCCGGCGCATCCAGCGCAACCTGTCGCGCACGTTGTGGAACGGCAAGCTGCGCAGCTACAGCCAGAACGACCGCGCCGAGGCGGCCTCGGGTTTCGCCACCACGCTGCTCAACGAAGTCCAGCGCACGGGGGCGCAGCTGCGGCAGGTGTTCGAGAAGGCGATCTCCGGCTTGCAAGGCGCCGCACTGGCCGCCGTGTTCGACACCGCCGTCTTCCAGGCGCGGCTGGCCATCGACATCATGGACCGCAACCTCTACGAGCGAGCGAACGACTGCCGCTGGTGGGCGCTCGACGTCCGGCTGCAACGCGCCCTCGCCGCCCAAGGCACCCCCGATGCCGACGCTGGCGCTGCGCAGGCACAGCAGGTGCTGCAGCAGATCAATGCGCTGTACACGGTCTACGCGCTGTTGCTGGTCTACGACCTGGACGGCCGCGTGGTGGCGGTGTCCGACCCCGCTCAGGCGCACCTGGTCGGCCGAGCGCTGCAAGGCGCCTGGGCCAGCGCGGCGCTCGCGCTG